AAAAGCCCCCTGGCGTTAGCTGGGAGTGTAGATGATATTCGTGGACCTTTAAAAGTTTGTTTTTCCTTCTTTCTTTCTTTTTTAAGAGAAAAGTATCTCTTGTGACCCCAGCTTCATCCTGAAAAGCATCGTTCTCTAGGTCGGAGGACACACAGAGCCCGCTTGGCAGCTTGATTACTATGCAACCAGGGACACGTGACCAATCTTTCTGTTTTCTTCAGATCACCTTTTTTCTTTTTTTTCTGATTGTGAGGGAATGCGTGCCCACGGTAGAACACTGGTAAGGTATTGATGGAGAAATAAAACGGAGAGCGTGTCATGTATAGTTCACATCTTGGTCTGTTGTCCTCAACATCTTACTTTCAACGTCTTCTATCTTCCCGTGTCATTATTCCTCAAAACCATATTCCTAATTCCTGCCATGGAAATTTCCTCCGTGTGGCTGAGCCCTTTGGGCTCCCTCGCACTTGGCCGTTTGGCCGTCTGTGGCCTCGCGCAGGGTTTTCGGCTGTGAGATGGTCACAGGTGTGCCGTGAAGCCTGATGAGATAGCCGATCTGTCCACTCACGCGACTGGTCCTTTTGTGCCTCCTGGCCTGAGCTGGGGCGGGTCGTGGACACCTCCCGGGGCTGCCCTGGGCAGGAAGGTCACAGGGGACTGTAGACTGTGTGATAAACTGAGGCAAGGGGCCCTCTTGGATCCCGGGTCCCGACCCCCATGCCTCGTCTTGAACCACCAGGAAGTTTCCACTTGCCCTGCAGCCCTGGGACCATGAATTCTGGGGGGACAGGTAGGGCTCCCCAAGATGCTGCTTCCTCTTCTTTTCCACTAGAAACCGGTGCTGTCTGCTCATCTGACTCCATCAGGCCATCTGCAGGGGCACACCTAGGTGTGCCCCCCCCCCCCCCGGTCTCACTTCCACGGCGGGACCCAGAAACGTGGGCTTCCAAGAAGCTGGGTTCCTACCTGCCCTACTTAAACCAAGCGTCCTTCAAATCCATCATCCTTTCACTTAAAGAAAACCACTCTATATCGTACACAAGACGGTTTGCTCTAAACGGAAGTTTACCTTAAAAGAAAGGCAACAAAACACCTGATGCGATCGGAGAGTGTGCCTGGCGCCAGCTCTGAACTCGGCTGAACGGGGGGCCCCCGCCGCCCCACAAGTGTCAGACGGCTGGGGAGCCAGGAGAGAAAGGGGGCTAAGGCAAGAATGACTCTCCTGCCAGGTGCATCACGGTGTCTGCTATGCATTCCTCACCTGGCTCAGGTGGGCCTGCGCTTGGGGGACCCCGAATTCTAGCCCAGCCCTCCCACTTTACAGACAGGGAGACAGGCTCAGGGAGGAGGGAACTTGTTCCAGATCACATGCAGAGATCCCCTGGGCACGATTTCCTGGCTCAGGAGAGGTGAGCAGATTCCTCCCGGCGGGCAGAGAAGCATCTGAAAGCATCTGGTAGGGGCGGGGCCCCAGGGGCTCCGCAGAGAGCAGGGGAGCCCGAGCTGGCGGGTGTCAGAGCTAACGTGGCTTCCATCCTCTGTGGCTTGGCTGTGCGATTTTCCCTCTCAGGGACCATCAAACGTCTGGGTCTTGTCCATGGCGGAAGCAAGGGGTGGGTGGGTGAGGGACGGAGTGCGGTGGGCAAAAACCCAGGTCGAGCTGGGGTAGGCCATACAGGGTATCTGAGCTTCCCCCAGGCGGCAGTCAGTGCTGGCCCAGGGGACATGGGCCTTGGGCCAAAGGGACAGAGGCGTCTCCAGTGTGACCGCCCCTAGCCCCTGGACGGAGGTGCGGGGTTCGACGGCCTGGCATGCAGCAGGCACTCATTCACTGTCTATGGAGACACAGCATTGTCTGGTCAGGTGTGCAGCAGGGGCATATTCAGTAAGCGAACGGACTCAAGGGCGCCATTACCAAATCCAGAGGGTGCTGGAGGCCTGTCCCGCCTACTTCTCCCTGGATGCAGCTTAAACCCCCGTCCCCATAGAGGCCTGGTCCCCACTCAGCCCCTCAGGGATCCCCTTTGGTACCTGATGCTCTAGCCACACACACTGTACTAAGTTCATCTAATTGCATTTCGTCTAGTTGACCCTATCTCTGAGCCTTTGCACATGCTGTTCCCAACGCCTGGCACACTCTTCCATCCCATTCTCGCTCCCTGCCAATTCTTCCCCCTCCTTTAGATTTCAACACATCGCTTCCCCCAGGGGGTCTCCCCGGGCACTCCCCTTTGGCTGGGTGAAGGATCCTTGTCTGCCCCCCACGCCTCTAGTTCCCCATCACAGTCCAGCCTCATACCCTAATTCCTGTCTCCCACCGGACTAGTTCACAGCGGTATGCGCAGTGCCTGCATTCAGTAGGCACTCGATATGTGTGTGTGTTGAATGAACATATCAAGTAAGTGAGCCCTAGACACAGGTCTGAAGAGATGTCCTTCAATCGTTCAGTTATTCAAGCAATCACTTACGGACCAGTACTTACCGGGCTCCCCTACTTGGTGAGGCCCTGGGACATACGGCTGTGAGCAAGACCAAAAAGTCCCTGTCCCCACGGAGCTTGGGACTCCTGTGAGGGCCACACAATTGCCAAGCACCTTGACAAGACAATTTGGGACGGCAGTGAGTCCTCTGCAGGATTTGAAACAGGGTGAAGAGTGAGGCCGCTGTCGCCAGGGGGCACCAGAGAGGCCCCCTCTGAGGCGGTGACCTTTCTGCTGGGATCTCAAGCCGGGAGGGGTCCTCCCGGGAGACCTGGGGGAAGAGCGTGCCAGGGAGGGAGAGGACACGGCCTGGGCAGAGGCCTGGAGGTGTCTGCAGCCGTGGAGCTGGCAGGGGGGAGGGGCGTGGATTCTTCTGGCCCTTCCATTCACCTCTGGGTGATCCGCGCAAGTCACGTGACCACTCTGGGCGTGCTCGCCGGTGAAACGAGGGAGTTGCCCTCCATCTGGTGCAGACAGTAGTCTGGTTCCCAGAGCGGCCTCCGCGGGTCGCCCATCCCTCTTAGGTATAAACTCACATTCCTCATCCTGGGCTATTTTACCATTTCCTTTCGTGCTAAACCAAAGGGACTATTTTGGAAACTCCTATAAGCAAACTAAGCCCTGCCTGGCATTTGAGCGGATATAAAAGAGCCCTAAGTGAGGGACTCAGGCATAAAAGCCACCCAGCCCTGAGAGCCCACGCCGCTAAATTTAGAAGCATCACCTCCAAATGAGGTGAAATTGTAGGTTCCCTGGGCTGGCGGGCGGTTCTGGCCAGCAGTGAGCTGGCCAGATTTAGCGGAGTGGGCTCAGGCTCCTTCCAGCCGCGCCTCGGGGAGGAGGTCCCGGACGACGGTCCCAGTGTCTGGGGAGCCGCTGGCTGTGTGAGAAGCCCCTCCAGGTGTCCTGGCCCCTGCTGCACTCACCAGCTGTGTCCAAGCCATCCGTCTAAGCGGGTGCTGCCCCAGGGTACCAAGCCAGCGAGAGGCAGCGAGGGACGCACGGGGACGAGGCAGTCCTGTCTGCCACCAAAGGTTTGGGACCTGCATGACTTCTGTGCCTCTCTCCTCTGCTCAGGGGCCCAGCGAGGTCTCTGGCTTATCTCTCTTGCCCCGCAGAGTGCCAGCTATATCCAGGGCTGTCCTGAGCCTCTGAGCGCCGACCTCTGTTCAGAGTGGTCAGTGCCCCTGCTGGGTCACTGATTAAACGTTGAGAATATCAGCCTTGGTCCAAAGTGACCAACATTCACGGGGTCTTGTCAGGGGCTGCCCAGTGAAGGCTCCTGAGATCTTAGGGGTATCAGCCTGGCCGTCCCGGCCCATCTACCAGAAGGGAGATGTTTTTGCAGCAAGAAACCCAGCTGGGTGAGATCGCAGGGGGCCAACCGGTCAACAGTCAGGATTAACCCCATCAGAGCCTGTGGGGGAAGCTGGGGGTGACCGCTGGCCTCCCTGTTGGAGCAGCTGAGCTGATTGGGAACTGATGCTGGTCCCGAGAAGCCCCCAGGGACCCGGGCTCCCACACCCTGAAGCCTGCAGGGGATGGGGTTGATTTTTCTTGGCCACCCCCAATGCTAGGCTTCTAGCTTGGCAGGTCCCTTTCAGGACCTGCTTCCATTCAGCCTGGGTCTGGCTCTTGGGTGGGGACATGTCCTCAGCACAGCCCCCCGGGGAACAGGTGCCACCTTGAATGAATTGACCAGGCTTTTAAGGCCCGTTATGCCCGGGTCCAAATCCCAACTCTGTTGTTTCCTACCTGTGTGACCTTGGATGAGTCGTTTCCTCTGCTCTTTAGCCTCAGTTTCTTTATCTGCAAAATGGGGATAATAATCGTGTTTACCTGATATAACGTCGGGAGAATTAAATGAGATTTTAAGCCCTTAGAGTCGGTAGCACGGAGGGTGCTGGGCACCCACGGGTCAACCATTAATAGCTGTAAGTACTGTTTTATGGGAACGTGGCCATGCTCATCATTTCCATAATGTCTGTGGCTGCTTTTGCTCTAAAACAATAGAGTTATATAGTTGTGGGTATTTAAAAGAGTATATGGCCTGCAAAGCCAAAAACTTTAGTATCTGGTCCTTTACAGAAAATGTTTGTCAGCCCCTGCCTTGGAATCGAGCACTTAGTGGAAATTCTTATCCCCATCCTTATCTTTACCCTTAGCCTGAGGCTTCCACTTATCTGGCACCATGGGCTGCACAGCCTGGTACCGTGGCAGCAGCAGGCCCAGCCTTTTAGGCACTGTTTCTGGTCCCATAAGGATGTGCTGTGAATCTTCCAAGCACCAGAGAACACTCTAGCCCCGCCTGCAGGTCCCTCTCTGTCTGATGGGGGAGCAGAGAAGTTGCCATCCGCAGTCTACTGTAACTGATGGAGCAGGGAAGGTAGGGGAAGGGTGTTCCAGCCTGCAGCCCCCGGCCCCCAGCCCCCAGCCTGCAGCCCCCAGCCTCTAGTCCCCAGCCCACAGCCCCCAGCCCGCAACCCCCAGCCTCTAGTCCCCAGCCCCAGCCCCCAGCCTCTAGTCCCCAGCCCCAGCCCCCAGCCCCCAGCCCCCAGTCCCCAGCCCCCAGTCCCCAGGCTGGCACCAGAGTATTCTTCCTAACCAGTGACCCCAGTGATGTCCCTCCCTGTTACCCCCTCATTCCCTTGCCCAGCTTGGCTGGGGGCTCTCAAGAGTTCGAGGAGGTCCCTGGTGCCACCCTGAGCACACACCGCTAGTGGTGAGGCAATGGTGTACTGATAGATGCTCACTAAGCTGCAGGGATAAAAAACCACAAAAAAAGCCCAAATTTGTAGCACTTGCTGACATCCAGGGTGTACGCATTCCTGCCGTGGCTGATTTCAAGCTACCAAAATTCCCAAGAAAGTAACGATTGACGCTCAGGGGCTGGTCCGGGCTGGCAGCCGCCTGGCACAGGCGGGGAGCGTGGGGACCTTCCTGTGGGGCTGGGACATCTAGAGGCGGGACGGGGACGTCTGAGCGTCTGCAGCCGCCCGCACTCAGGTTCCAAACCTGTCTCATTGCTTCCACGCGGGCTTCTCGGGCCAGTCTCGTCCCCTCTCTGGGCCTCATGTCGCCATCTATCCAAGTAGGTCAGCAACAGCTCCCAGGCCTCAGGGGCTGCGTAGATTTGCTAAGATAATTTCCGCGAGACATTTAGCGCAGGGCGGACTTAGTAACAGCACTCAACAGACGGTGGCTCCCATCAGGGCCGCTGTTCATGGATCCACGGCATGTGACAGTCCTTGGTGCTGGGGCTTGCCACACAGTGGGTGCTCAGCAAACACTCGCCAGCTTCCCCCGGCAGGGCTGGAGGGCGCTCCCCGGGCTCATCCGCCTCTGTAGCCCCCTACGGGGCGGGGGCCTCTGTGGCCAACGGCACAGAGACAACCAGCTCTTTCCCTTCCGCGTGGTGCACCCTCAGCGCACGGTCTCCTTGGTCCTTCTCTGACTTTCTGCTTTGCAAACGTGACCGCCGGGGCCCGGAGCCAGCGAGTGGCACAGCTGGGGTCTGAGCCCAGGTCTGGCCTTTTGGTTTCCAGTCCTCAGCACTATGTACAGCGCGGTGTGGGGTGGGGATGGGGGGAGCCTAGGAGGAGGGGAAGTCTTGTGGGGGCCGCACGGATCTGCCAGGGGGGCCCTGGAGCCTATGGTGGGGGCTGACCACACATAAAATGCAGGACGGGATGCTGGACAGACGTGGCTCGAAAGAGAACGTTATTCCAGGGAGAGGCCCAGCCCTGAGCAAAGGCGTGGACTCTGGCAGGTGGACGGATGTTGGGACGCAGGGGCCTTACCAAGCAGCGATACGAGGGAGGTGGTGCAGTGGAGCTTTTTTAGAGGCTTGGCTTCGGCAGTGGGGTCCCTGGAATCCTCGGACTGTCTCCACCCTGGCCGAGGAGCAACGCAGCAGCAGAGATTCAGGTCAGATATGCAGAAGAACCTTCGACTGTCGGTGCTGGAAGGCACTGGAGATACTCCCGAGGGATACGGTGGCGTTTTTCCAACCTAGAGGCGGTTTGGAAAAAAGAAAAGACAGCCAGGGTTCTAGGCTGGCCTCATTGCAGCCTGGATCAGAGATGGGGCAACGGATCCAGGGATTCTGGAGGGCCTGGATGCCAGCAGCTTGGCCTCATGTGAGGTGGGCTTTGTCACCCCTGCTCAAAACCCTCTCATGGCTCCCAATCACCCTTGCCCAATTGCAAGGGCAAACCCCTCCCTGGGGTTACCAAGGCCCCGCAGGAGCTGCACTCTGCTGGCCTCTCCAGCCTCCCCTGGAGTCACGGCCCAAACCACAGCTCTTCTTTCGGTTTCTGGATTACGCCGTGTCCTCTGTACCCCCGGGCCTTTGCCCATGCTGTTCCCTCTGCCTCAGATACCCTCCCCTCCCTCTCCCTCTCCCTTCTCCTTCTCCCCTTATCAGCCTTTCCTTCTCAGCAGCTGATCACCTCCTCCATGGCTAAGTCGAGTACCCCCTGGGTCCCCCCATAACTGGTGGCTCATTAGCCTCCCTGCCAGACCGGGAGCCCTGGAAGGCAAGGACTCTGCCTGTCTTGCTCAGTGCGTGTCTCCAGCACAGTGTTTGGCACACAGCGTTCCATGAGTGTTTGTGGAGGGGGGTGAGGGTTACTGGCAGAGAGGAGTAGCTGAGAAGAGATCAGGTATGGTTTCAGGAGGAGCTGACTCCCCGCTGCCGGAGCCTCAGCATTGCTCAGCCATTAAGAACCTGAGCACAGAGTACAGAGACCTGGGTTCGAATCTCGCTCCTGCTGCCAGCCCCAAACAGTTCCCTAGCCTCACTGAGCTTCATCTGTGAGCTGGGGATGGTACCAGCTGCCCCCTTTGTGGGGCTGTTGTAAGGACCTTGGGGACCGTGGTGAAGGGGGACCAGCCGCGACCCGCACTCGGCAGGCGGCAGTGCGAGGCTGACTCTCCTGTCCTCTCCCTGTAGGTGACGGCCATGTCGGTGAGGTTGCGGTTCCTGTCCTCTGGGGACGCGGGGGCCGTGGGGGTCGTGGGCCGGAGCGCCTCCTTCGCGGGCTTCAGCAGCGCACAGAGCCGGAGGATCGCGTAAGTTCTGCCCGTGAGGAGGGTACAGGGCTGGCTCGTCTTGTGCAGCCTGTGACCCTGAAGCTCTCTCTGATGCCAAGTCTGCAGCCCAGGACAGTGTGTGCGCGCGTGTGACACTTGGTGCTGGGAGAAACCTGTAATTTCCTTGAGACCCGAAGCCGTCTCATGTCACGTGCTCCTGGCAGTTGGTCCTGGAAGTCACCTGCGTGAGCTTATCAGGCCCACTTAGCAGATCAGAAAACAGGCTCAGAGAGGTGGAGCTGCTCACCCAAGGTCACACAGCAAGACTGGTTCGTTCAGCCCTGGAACTTAGTCTGGGGGCGGGGTCAGGATGGAATGTTCTTCCTGTTTGATAGAATGGGACGTGGGGCCACCTATCCCAGTTCTGTGACCTGGGGCAAGTGACTTCACCTCTCTGAGTCTCGGTTTCCTCATCTGTGAAATGGGGATCACGAGTGTCCCTCCCCGACAGAGTTGTTGTGAGCGTACGATGAGGTGACACAAGGCAAGCAGCCGGCACATGCTGGCACACAGTAGGTGCTTGCAGGAAATTTTCAAAGGAGGAGGAACAGCAGAGATGGGCCTGGGGTCAGGGCTGCCCCACTGGACATGAGTTCATGGCTGTTCCACGAGTCTCCTTCGGCTGCAGGTACTTCCCGGGAGGAAGGTTCGTTTCCACTCCTGGGGGCCACAGACTGGTCCTGGCCTTCATGTCGGGCACTGTGCAAGCCTGGGGAGCTGCCCGCCCAGGGGTGGGGCAATCCCTCAGGCATCGCGAGTGGCCCAAGCCCGAGGGGCCCAAACATCTGCCTGGCTGAGCAAATGTGGGGGACAGGCAGGACTCCCAGCCAAGCAGGGTTGGCCAGGGCTCGTCACGGCCCTCTCCTACCTGAAACCTGCCAGGGGTTCCCATCTGCTGAGAATGCAATCTGGACTCCTCACGCGGCCTAACAAACAGCTCCCTGTCACACTGGCTGCTGTCTCCTCCGGGCCCTCCACCTGGCCCCTCCTGTGACTCCTCCTTACCTGGCCAGGGGCTGCTTAATGTCCTTTGGGCCTTGGCTTCACTGCCGTGTCCTGAGGTGGACCACCCGTGCCCCAGACCGGGCCTTCCTGTGGCTCTTTCCCTGGGGTTCAGCTGCACACTCGCCCCCCCCCCCCAGTGATGCCTGGTCCCTGAGGTCCAGCTCTCCCAGCTCGCCCACTTGTCTCCTGGCCGCTCAGTGCCAGCACGTGCCCGGAGGAGTGGGTCTCAGGGCCGAAATCCTGGAGGGTCTCAGCTGGAAGCGTGCTTAGGAATCCCTGATTCGTTCTCCAAATATTTATGGAGCACCTACTCTGCCCAGGCCCTGGGGATGGAACCGGGCCCCGCCCTCCTGTCAGGGCAGCGAACAATAAGCCAACAATAATCAAGATGGATTCAGCTGGTGGCACGTGAAGGAATTAAAACGGGGATGTGGGAGGGTGGCAGGGCTCTCAGAGGAGGCCCTCAGTGAGGCAGGAGCACCTTTAAGGCCAGAGAGAAGATAAGTTGATGTTCACGTGCAGAGAGCATGCAGGGCTGGGGACGTCTTCCAGGTGGAAGGGGCAGCCAGTGCAAAGGTCCCGAGGTGGGGATGAGCTTTGAGGCACCGAAAGTGGGTGTGTGGCTGTCTTGGGGGATAGACGTGAGAGAGGGAGGGCTGCGGGGCTTTGTGAGCCACAGCAAGGACATGCAAGGTGCAAGGCGGGGGGGGGAAACACAGCCCCAGAGAGAGTGAGCCCCTAGTCCCTCTGACGCCCAGCCTCCAAGAGGAGAAAGCGTGGATGCCACCGCAAGGAAGGCATACATTAGGCACTCCATAAGTGCGGCTGAGAAGGATTAAGTCAACTGGCCAGGGAATGATCATGTTCCTTAACAGAACCACTTTTGAGCTGCCTCTTCTGGGCGTCACCAGGCGCCCCCCCCCACCACCATGGGGTCTGTAATCAGGGCTGCTAAAGACAGTTGCACAGGTCACCCAGCCAAGGGGGCCATCCAGTCCACGTAATCCTCCCCAGCTGGCTCACCCAGGGTGGGGTACCTTTCTCTAACTCACACAGAGGCACTATGGGGATTTTGTTACCATGGTCTGGCAGTGGGGGGCGCCGAAGGGGGGTTTCACAGACCCTGGCAGCCAAGGCCAGCTGCGTGAGTATACAATCTGTGTGCTCACTAGGGCCCTGTGCTCACGTAATACTCTGGTGTTGCCATCTAGAAATTCCTTTTTTTTCCCCCTCAATGTTTATTTATTTATTTTGAAAGAGAGTGCAAGCAGGGGAGGGGCAGAGAGAGAGTGGAGGGAGAGAATCCCAAGCAGGCTCTACATTGTCAGCACAGAGTCCAATGCAGGGCTCCAGCCCACGAACTGTGAGATCGTGACCTGAGCTGATCAAGAGTTGGATGCTTAACCGGCTGAGCCACCCAGGCGCCCCGCCATCTAGAAACCCTTACTACAGTTTGAAAAAAGGACCCTGCATTTTCTTTTGCACTGGGCCTCATGAATTCTGTGCCTGGTCCTGACTTCCTGCCTCCATGGGAATGTTCCCACAGGCCCCAGTCAGGAGCTCTGCCCAGGTAGTGTCCCAAGGACTCCTGAGGACAGCACTCTGGGTGGGAAGAAGACAGAGAGGTCTGACCCTGTCCCGCTATGGCTCACAAGATCACGTCTGGCAAGGTCTGCATCCCGGTCTAAGACAGATGACCTTGATGGCTGTAAATATCCCGGAATAGCCACTCTCCTGGTGGCTCCTTCTCCTTCTCCTGCTCTGAGATTTCTGGAGAATTCTGGAGCCACCAGCCTGGGTGGGTTCTGAGGTCCCTGAGGGGCCACCATCTAGTCTCTTCAGTGCCCTTTTCCAAGGGTAAGGAAGAAGCTGCCCACGAGGATGGGGAGGAGCGCATCTATTTTTAACTTCCTGTCTCTGGCCAGCTCCCAGGCGTCTGGACCCTTGGCTCCCAGGAGTCTGGAACCCTTGGCTCTGGGGCTGGACGGCCTAGATTGTGTTTCAGACCTCACCTTCTGGCCTTATTTCTCAGGTAATCCAACCAGGCTGAATCACAGACACATTGCCAAGGCACCCAGTGGCTGGGGCAGGGCAGGTAAAAATAACCTCAGATAGGAGAGCCGGGGATTGAAGCTCATTGATGTCCCCTTTGTCCAACCTCTGCCCCTGCCCTGGCACCTGAAACCCTTTTGACTCTGGACATGGCTTTTTATTCCATAATCAAAGAATTCACCCGAGGAAGTGATCTATCTGGTGGGCAAATTTTATACTAAGGTGTGAATGATTGCTATGAATGATGCTGTCCCATTCTGCCCCGATTCACAGGCGTGGCTGCTCTTACCCCCTTCCGGTCCCTCCTCAGCCAGGTCTCCTCTCCCCCAGGCTGTCAGGAGGGTACCCTCCTGAGCTAGGAGCCCCTCCCAGGTCCTCACCACCTCAGGAATTCCTCTGCTGAGATGGCCGGCAAGTGGGGGTGTGAAAACTAAGTAGTAAACCTTTGATTTTCAAGGAAAGGAGGTTGGAGAAAGAGGATATGGCGGAGGTGCTCTCCCTGCTCTGCTCTGTTCCTCATCGTGCCCACCCATCCAGGGCCACCAGGCATAGAGACAGGGTTAGCTTACACCGTCGGCCCACTGAGTCCTCACACGAAACGTGTCCAGTTGGTCCTATCGTTGCCCCCCAGCCACACCCAGCCCCGCCTGCCCCCCGGTCCCGCACTTGCAGCAGCCGTGCACCGGGCCTCCGACAAAGTGTTTCCCCACGACGATCAGGCAGAAAGGCCGTCCCAGCGGCCTCACGTGAGGGCTGGGGCCACCGGGTGGCACGTGTCCTTCTGGAAGCTTGTCTGGCGTGCCAGGGGCTGTTTAATATTTACTGAGTGCTCTCAGAGCCGGTGAGACACCCGCCCCCGGAGCTCGCTCTCTGCCCTGGCGGCTGTATCACTGGGCCAGACACGCAGCCCGATTTCGCCATCTGAAGGCTGCACTTCCCCGGCTGAGCCAGCAGCGCTCAGAGTGGCCACCGCGCCCGTCCCGCTGAACCTCAGACGAGAGCACTGAGCTCAGAGTTTCCCCGGGAGCCAGTGAAGCCAGGCGTGGCCGCAGCGGTGAGGGTGAGGAGGTCTCCGGGTAGCAGGGTCTGGCCGAGGGTACGCACCCCCCGGGGGCCGGGGACCCCTGGGAGCTGGCAGGTGAGCTGGGCTCCTGCGCGGCACCCCCCGCCAAGAGTTGCTCGCGCACCCCACCTGCCAGGGGCCTGAGCCCATCGGAAACCCGCCTCTCTGAAGGCTGCAGCCCTCTGAAGGCTGCAGCCCTGCCCATCTCTGCCCGCCTGGCATGTCAACTTTGTGGATGGCCTGCTCGAGGAGGTGGGTGGTGTGGCCTCAGGCAGGGGGAGGGAGGAGGGAGCGCGGCCCCTTCGAGGGCCTGGATATTTATCATCTTACTGATTTATTTATATTTTAAATTTTCGTATTTAGTTTGAGAGAGAGCGTGAGCAGGGGGAGGGGCAGAGAGAAAGGGAGAGAGAGAATCCCAAGCAGACTCTACACTGTCCGTGCAGAGCCCGACGCAGGGCTCGAACTCACAAATCATGAGATCGTGACCTGAGCCGAAGTCAAGGGTCAGATTCAACCAACGGAGCCACCCAGGCGCTCCTACTGTCTTCTTTAACTTTGACACATACATAACCCTTGTCCTTTGCCGGGCACTACTCAAACCCCTTTACATTTATTTATTTATTTATTTTTAAAAAATTTTTTTTAATGATTTTATTTATTTTTGAGACAGACAGAGACAGAGAGTGAACGGGGGAGAGTCAGAGAGAGAGGGAGACACAGAATCCGAAGCAGGCTCCAGGCTCTGAGCTGTCAGCACAGAGCCCGATGCGGGGCTCGAACTCACAGACTGTGAGATCATGACCCGAGCTGAAGTCGGACGCTCAACCGACTGAGCCACCCAGGCGCCCCTACATTTATTAATGCATACAGCAACGCTTTCCCGGGGCCCTATTTTACAGATGCGAAAACTGAGGCACAGAGAGGTTCGTTAACTTACCCAAGGTCACATAGCTTGTAAGTGGGGTTACCGAATAGAGACACGGGCACCTAGCTCCAGAGCCTGTGCCGGCTGTCCCACCCCCTCCCCCAGCTGGCATGGCAGCTTGCGGGGACACAGCTTTTACTTGCTTTGGTCTCTGTTTTACCTCCAACCCCTTGAATGCTGTTTGGTGTGCCGTAAGTGCTCAGTAAATGTTTGTTGAGTGAATGATGGTCTCATGACTGGTCTATGGGGTAGGCACTCTTATCTGCCCTTTACAAATGAGGAAACTGAGTCTCTTGGAGGTTAAGTACCTGTGACCCCCGGGGCTGGGATTTGTCCATGGGTGGTTGACCAGGAGCTTGTGTCTCATGAGACAACATAAGCTCCCAGCGTGGCAAGTCCCCTGCTCCCCCCGATCCTTCCTTGCTGCAACATCCCCTAGGACCCAGTTCTCAGGGCGCGGGCAGGGCCGGGGATCTCTATTTCTGGATCCTTGGCATGTGACATGGCGAGGATTCCCGGGGTAGGGAACCCAACCGGAGGGGCGGCCGGGGCAGCTCCTCTCTGCTGAGTCAACAGCAGGTGTCTGTATCTGTGTGTGGAATGTGCCACATCTGGCTGGGCTGGATATACAGCCTGGCTGCCCGTTCAGCCTCTTGGGGCGCCAGAGTGAACTTGTCAGGCCTGCCGAAGGAGCTGGAAGCTGTGTCCTGCCTGCCCCCTGCCTGGCTCTCCAGACCTCAATCCTCCCCTCTTCCCGGGGACGGGGAGTCTTCGAGGGTAGGACCCCAGGCCCTCGGCTCCCACCATGGTGCCTGATTCGCAGAAAGCCCCTCTGTGAGTGTTTGAGTGAGTCGGGGGGTCCGCTACCCTTGATTTTGGGCCGCAAAAGTGCAGCAAACTCTGAAGGGCTCCCGGGGAGATGCATACCTGGGTTTCCAGCAGAAGGATGTCCCCCGAGTGAATCCCCTAAGACGGTGGTCCTCAAAGGGTGGTCCTTGGACCAGCAACACTGGCAGCACCTAGGAACGTGTTAGAAATGCAGATTCTCAGGCCTCACCCCAGACCTGCTGAACCTGAGACTGGGGCCTCTGCTGAGAGGGCTCAGCAATCTGAGCCTGGGTCCTCCAGATGGTTCTGAGGACCCTGAGGGAACCCTGCCCCTTGCCCCCAGAGGGGTGGTTCAGATCCCGGGCTGGGAATCTGCCCATGTTTGGGTTTGGGTCCCAGCTCTGTCACTCACGTGATCTGGGGCAAGTCACTTCTCTGAGCCTCCGGTTCCCTACCTTGCAATGGGGTTAAAATCGATGTTTATTTAAAGCTCCTACAGCAGGGCTGGGAAGCAACAGACACTCAGGGGGCACCTTCTATCCGGGCACCGTCATGATGCTCCCAGATTGTCATCGTCCGGGTCTGTGAAGCTGGGAGCTGACCCACTCCTCCCCGCTCCCCCTCCTCGGCTCCCACAGGGCGGGGCAGGAAGGGTCTCCTCACTCTCTTTCGGTCAAGCCTTCTCCTTGCTGTCCGCCCAGCATCACACACAGACTGGACCACGTCCTCCCCTCCACCCTGACTCACTGTCCCCCGATTCAGAACACCCTTCTTGGGACGACCCTTCATCCTGTTCTTCCCTTGAGGTCCCGCTGCGCCCTTGGGCTCCCCCAACTCTCTATTTCCCTCGTCCCGTTCAGCTCAGTATTTACTGAGCACCTACTGTTTTCCAGGCTGTGGGCGCAGGGACAGATACAGATGGGATGTGATTATTATAACGGTAGCAAACATTTATTAGGCACCCACTGCCTCCATTGTGCCGAATGTTTCCCCTGGTGTCTCAGAGAATTCCCAGCACTGCTCTCTCATTTAGGGTCTATTGTTTTCCCATTTGACAGATAAATAACTGAGGCTTGGGTAGTACCTCAGTGTAGAGGTGAAGTACATTTGACAAAGAAACAAAACTGGTTATACCCCCCTGCTCCCCTCCCCCCTTCCTGCTCGTGCTCACTCTCTCCCCCTCCCTCCCCCTCTGTCTCCATCCCGGAGGAACCTTAGAGCACAGGTTGAAGCAGGCTCCTCAGTGCACCCGAGAGGAAGACAGGGAGGGAGGCAGCTGGAAGGAAAAGCTAGAAGCTTCTCTGAGAGACTGACCCAGACGTTCGAGTGCTATTTCCACTCGTGTTTCTCCCGTGAGGAGGGAGTCCTGAAGCCACATCTGGTGCAGGGATACCTGGGAAACAATGTCTTTAAGAGGACGGACGGAGGCAGCCCTGGTCTTGCACTTAGTGGACGAGGCATAGGATTCTAGAAGGGGCTTAGGTGCCAGTGAAACCAGCCCGGGACTGTAACGAGGATACCCTCACCCTGTACTACTCTAATCAATCCTGAAACGCTGGTGTGCCCCTCAAGGGCTGAGAGACACAGCTGCCACTGCTGGGAAACATCAGTTCTTTTTTTTTTTTTTTCTTAAAAAATTTTTTCTTAGTGTTTATGTTTTTAAAATCTTTTTAAGTTTTTTTTTTTGAGAGAGAGAGAGACAGAGAGAGTGGGGGGGGAGGGGCAGAGAGAGAGGGGGAGAGAGAGAATCTCAAGCAGGCGCTGCACTGTCAGCATGGAGCCTGACGTAGGGCTCAAACTCATGAACCATGAGATCGTGACCTGAGCCGAAACAGAGTCGGACGCTTAACTGACTGAGCCATCCAGGCGCCCCAAATGTTTGTTTATTTTTAAGAGAGAGACAGAGTGTGAGCAGGGGAAGGGCAGAGAGAGAGAGGGAGACACAGAATCTGGCGCAGGCTCCAGGCTCTGAGCTGTCAGCACAACGTCCGACGTGGGGCTCGAACCCACAAGCCGTGAGATGGCGACCTGGGCTGAAGTCGGATGCCCAACCAACTGAGCCACCCAGGTGCTCCTGGGGACATCAGTTTTTAAGATCATTCAGTCCCCAACCCCAACTCCAATAGGCTTAGGCAGAAAAGAGAACCAACTGGTTCATGTAAGTGAAATTCCACGGGCAGGTCTAACTTCAGGCATAGCTGGATCCAGGAGCTCATGGTAGTGTGGAATTGGTCTGCCCCCACCTGCTCCTCCCTGTGTTGCCTCCATTCCCCCTACATGATGCAAAGGAAATGGCTGGCTGTTCCAGGTGTATGTTCCCCCGGAACAGCAATGTCAGAAGAAAGAATCCTTTTCCTGTCTGTGAATCTGGAAGCAAACTCCCGGCAGGGTTACTGGACACATTTGTGTCCTGTGCCTCTCCCTGAGCTAGGGAAATGGAGTATGTTGACTCCAGGCCTGAGACATGCATTTGCTTCAGAATGCCTGTGTATGTGTGTGCAGGTGTGTGTGTGTGTGTGTGTGTGTCTGTGTGTGTGGTGATTTGTCAAGCCACCTCCCTCCAAACCACATGCATGAGCAGCGGACTTGGGGAGGGGCCCCAGAGGAAAACTGGGGTGTTAGTAATAGAGGGAGAGGCGTGGGTCCTGTGCAGGCAAAGCTAACAAGTGCCCACCCACGGGAACGCCCCACGGCTACGATTTGGCCTCCCAAGTAGTTTTGTCCGGACGGACAGACCACACTGAGCCGAAAACAATGGCATTTGGGCTGCCCCACTGTACTTCCCACTGTGTTGATGTCTCATGTCAGGTTCTTTGTCTTTTAATCTTCAGATCCAAGCCCTCATTTTGCAGATGAGGAAACCGAGGCCTGGAGAGTCCCGGCCACTTTCCTGAGCTCACACGGCTCGGTGGTGGCGGCGCGGGACTCAGCCAGGCCTCGTGACTGCCCCGGGCTCTGGCCACCGATCCCCCAGTGCCTGCCCCCCGCCCCCCGCCAGGGAGGGCTTTGTCCAGATCCCAGCTGTGCCCCTCATTCCTTCTCACAGAAAGTCCATCCACGGGAACTCCGTGAGAGCTCGAATGCCTGCCAAATCCTCCAAGATGTATGGCACGCTGCGGAAGGGGTCTGTCTGCCCGGACCCCAAGCCACAGCAGGTGAAGAAGATCTTCGAAGCACTCAAGAGAGGCCTCAAGTAAGGACCAGTGTTTGTTGTCCCTGAAGCGTGCGTTCTCTGCCGCTTCTCCTCTCCGCCTCTCCTCAGAGAACACGGTCGGGTCTTGTCTGCCAGAGGCCAAGGAGGGAGCTCCTGTAGTCCACAAGCGCGTCCCGGGTGCAGCCACGCGCTCAGGCCCACCCTTCGGTGCTGGGGACACATTGAACGCTGCAGGGGGATGCTGGCCTCAGGGAGCTTATGGTGGAGAGGGGAGATGGCCAAACAGAAGTGACGTAAGCAGTAACAGAACTCCCAGCAGCCCTGAGTGCACGGAGGAAGGTGATGGAGAGGCAGCACGTTGGAGGCAGAGGAGACTCACCAAGGAGGTCCCGACGGTTGTGCTGGGCTCTGGGAGATAAGCGTCCCAGGCAGGGGGAACAGCGCGGGCAAAGGCCCTGAGGTAGGAGAGTGTAGGACAGGAGGCCCGGGTGGCTGGATTTGAGCGAAGGAGAGAGTTGGACTGGCTAGCTGGGCAGAGGCCAGAACAGGAAGATTCAGTCACTGACTCCGCCTATTTTTTTAAAAGTGTATTTGTTTATATTTTGAGGGGGGTGGGGAGGAGCAGAGAGAGAGGGAGAGAGAGAGAGAGAGAGAGAGAAAATCCCAAGTAGGCTCCACACTGTCAGTGCAGAGCCCCATGTGGGGCTCAAACTCACAAACTGTGGGATCACGACCTGAGCCGGAATCAAGTCGGACACGTAGCCGACTGAGCCACCCAGGCGCCCCACTCCACGCGCTTTTCTTGAGGGCTAACGGAGGGCCAGGTACAAGGTGTGGGAGTGAATAAAACACAGAAATCCCTGCCCCCGTGGAGCCTCCTAATGGGAGACAGACAATAAACAGGGCAGAAAAGCAAAATACAGAAGTAAGTCAGATGGTGGGAAGTACCATGGTAGAAAACAAATCAAGGTAAGGTGTGGGGCTGATTTTGAATAAGGGGTTCAAAGAAGGTCTCATTTAAGAAGGTGACATTTGAGCAAAAACCTGAAGGGGTGAAGGAGTGAGCCCAGCAGGTAATGGATAAAGAACATTCTAGGCCAAGGGAGCCACGTGTGCAAAGGCCCTGGGGCAGGAGCATGATCAGAGCATTAGGGGCATAGTGAGCAGGCCGGCATGGGAGCTGAGAGAGGGAGGCAAGGGTGAGGAGGTCTGGGGGGCAATGGGGACCAGATGACATGGGGCCTGTGAGCACTTAGTGTTCACTCTGGGTGAGCTGGGGTCTGCGCGGGGGGT